CACATGTAAGTGTAGTATGTATAATGTATGTACAAAAATCAAGGTTTTTTTGTAGGGATAAAAAATGGAGGGATAATTTGTATAATTTCACTAAAACTCAGAGGATGTCAGTGTAATTTACTCATAATATTATTTTGAGTTAAGAGAAAATATAAGTTTTATTTAATACATTCCTACAATTAATTACAAAATTTTGCAATTATGGAAACAAGGTGGACCAGAAGCCAATAAGGCTTGAACAAATGAACATAGTTTGGGAAATGAGAGACTTAGACAGTAACATAGCAATATGGGGGAGAACCAAGAGTGAGAAAGTGAAATAAATTCACATCAATCTCTCATTTCAATTCCAATTTTCAAACATAACAGAGATAATGAAGAACCTTCCATTTCCTCATTCAATAACTGGAGTGATAGATATTGAGACCTTTCATTTCACACCATTCTCTGAGAAAGGTAAACACAAATCCACCGCCATCTCCGTCGAACATTACTCTCTCAACCCTCACTTGTACCGGTCCATTCTCATTGATCTCTCCGACTCCGATGATGATCAAAACGACGACGTCACAATCCTCACTTCCAAGCCCCCAAACACTCCTTTTGGGAAACCTAAAAGAATCTTCGAAATTGGAGAATCTTCTAATTCTAATAATACTATCACTCCTTTCTTATGTCATATTTGTACTGAAACAAAAACCTTAAACGACGCGTTTCGTGTCCATAATTGCTCTCACTCTTATTGCACTGATTGTGTTGTAATGTACGTTGAATCCAAGCTGCAAGAGAACGTTGTAAAAATTCGGTGCCCTGAACCAGAATGTGAATTAGGGCTATTGGAACTTTATGGTTGTCGTGGAATTCTTCCTAAGGAAGTGTTTGATCGTTGGGGTGATGCTTTGTGTGAGTCTATGATTCTTGAAAATGAGAAATTCTATTGTCCTTTTAAGGATTGTTCTGCGCTTATGGTTAACGATGGTGGAGAATTGGTGAAGGAATCTGAGTGCCGTAATTGTAGGAGAAGGTTCTGTGCACAGTGTAGGGTTTCATGGCATGATGGAATTGACTGTGATGAGTTTCAGAAACTGAATAAGGATGAGAGAGAAAAGGAAGATATTCTGTTGATGCAGCTTGCGAATAATAACAAGTGGAGAAGATGTTCAAAGTGCAGGATTTTTGTTGAGAAAGTTGATGGATGCATGTACATTAAATGCAGGTTAGTTTTCTATGTTTTGTATCAAACATATTGTATAATCTGAATTAACAGGTTCTGGTAGTTTGGAGAAATTTAATAAGTCCTTATACTAAAATTTTATCAAGTCTTTACTATAATTAAAAAATGAATTTAGGAACTTAGTTATATTTCTCTAAAAAGAGTCTAAGGGCCAAGAGTAATTCAACCTATTTGTTGGGTTTTAGTGGATGGTTGAAGTAATAGTTGAACATAAGAGGAGATTTCTTAGATGAAAAGAATATACATTTTATTGATAATTAGTTGGAGGAGTACTATGAGGGGTTGAAGGGCCTAGACTTTCATACATAGTAAAACACCTTTCATTAATTACTACATCATACATTTAGTGATTTAACTCATATGTCATATTTATAAGACTATTTTTAACCTCTCAAGAATCTTATCAAGCTTCTAGACAATATATGTTATATCTATCATAATGTAATTTATCTTGAACTTTTTAGACATAAGCTAATTATTAGGTATTGCCACATTCTTCTTCTTGTTCTTCTGTTTTTCCTCACATGTTTATCATTGTATCAATGTATTTTTTAGGGGTTGTAATATTTGTACTTTTATATTTGAAATGTGGTAGAGTCTTTGTGTAATGTTTAGGTTGTTGGTTGGTAAAAATGATGTTATGAATTCAAATTTTAAAAAATCTCCATTTGCTAGAGGAAGCTTGTATATGCATATATTTATCATTCTCATACCTCACTAGGTGAGAGTCTCGTATATTAAACCATCATTTTTTATGCATACTAGTCTTAACATATAGTATACATATCAGACCATAGTCACAAGTACTAATTTTCCATTTTGTGTTAATTTCCATGGTGCTAGAAGCACAATAATGTTAACTATAGTTGTGGCCTTAATATTAGGATGTTTATTGAAGTATCACAACTGAAATGCTCTCTTATTTTTACATTTGATCATTTTGACTGCGAAAATGAGACTACATACATGCATCTATCCTAAATCCTAATAAATCTTATTAAGTGGGAGACTTATGCATTACGTCATGTTCGTTAATTTTGTAATAAGATTGCATTGATAAAAATTCCTTCTATTTTGGATTGCAGGTGTGGACATGCTTTCTGTTACAACTGTGGAGCTATTCCTACTGGTAAATCCCATCAAACCCATTATTGTGAAAACTGTAAACGTACATGGTAGGTTTGGGAGCCTATTTAACTCAAATCCAATAGTATGAGCAGAAGAACCATAACTGGATGGAATATTTGTTAAGATTTTTTTTGCTTTCCAGAATATTGTTGGTTTTGAACTACTCTACTTGTTTGGTCAGCCTTATTTGTAGGATTTAAATTAGGGTTTAAATTGTGTGTTTGTTGTTTTTCAGAATATATGAAAACTTGAGCTTGCTAACTATTTTTGCTCTTATCTAATCTTATTGAGATTTCCAATCTCCAATATTGGGTTAGTTTACCCTTGATCTGGGATTCTTTTTTCTATTATTGTTACACCAAAATGGTGGTTGGGAACAAAAGAAACAAACATTGTTTTAAATTGTACTCAAGTGTAATTATACTTTGTAATATTAGTGGTTTTATAAGTCTCCATATTAGTATTGTTACTACAATTATGACCACATCAAAAATATTTTCTCCGCAATTGCCATAGCGTTCTAAACACATAATTTACAAATATGAAGTTGCAAATAAAAATATTTACAAATAAATAAAAGAAAACACAATACATTAGATATTAATTGGTTCAAAATATAGGAAAGAAACAACTAATTTAGGAAGTTTATTTGTATAGTTAATTGACAAAAAGTAATTCATCCTCACGTGTCTCCCCGGGATCTAGGGATTGCTAAAAAAACTCCCGTATGATATCAGTAGGCTAGTTATCCACATATTTATAAATTTATTTTTTAATTTAATATTTTATGTATTATATTTTTTTTACCATTTTATAACTATATATTATCTATTTTATGATATACATGTACATAAAATTTATTATTCATATAATAATTATTTTTTATATATTAATTATTACAAAATATTTAAATAAATATTTAAATTTAAAAACTCGTTGGGTACCCTCAAATACTCATTACTCATACAGGTACCTGCAAATATTACTGGTATGGATACAACAAAATATAATGCTCGCAATTTTCTATTCTTTTAATATGTGAATGAAAAAATTTGATTTACTTTTGTAGACTTATCTTTATAAAAATATGATTTTTTTTAGATAAGTTGTAGATCTTTGGATGATTATCTTGATAACCTTATCTTGTTTTGATTTGAATCATTATGTTTATTATAATGTTTATCTTAAATAGGGATGGCAATGGGTCTGGATGGGTCCAAGTAGTGCATTACCCAGACCCACCTCACTGCTTTGTTTTTTGAACGAGATCCGCCCAGACTCATGCTAATACCCACGGGTATACTACCTGCGGGTCCTTGGGTACCCAACGGGTCTATGGGTACCCATAAATTCAAAAATATTAAAAATAATTGTAAGTAATTTATGCATTTGTGTATTTGTTTCATATGATCTTATATGCTATTTAGACAATTAACAAGAGAAAAAATTATAAAACTTGATTTAAAGTTTTAAAAACAACCTAATTTGACTATTATACACAACTCATTTTACTCTAACAAACATTAAAAACAACTTACATTATGATGAAAAATTCATTTAGTATGAACTCTTCGATTAACATAACATTACATCATACATATGAATTAACAACATAATATAATTACTTAACAACATAACATCACAATTTAACAACATAACAATCACATCTATGAATTAATATGATATTATAATTATAGATTAATATGATATTATAATTTAGATTAACATGATATTACAATTATGTTGTTATATATATATATAGGAAGAAATAGCAGGTTCGGGTAACCACAGGTCTGAGTACCTTATTACCCGGATCCAGACTCATCTAACAGCGGATCTTAAAATCGTGTGTCTCAATTACCCACGTGTCCAAAACATGGACCCAGACCCGACCCGTTGCGGGTATTTTTTGCGGGTACCCGCAGATCCGGGTACCCATTGCCATCCTTAATCTTAAACTAATTTTAATAGTATATCATATTATAATCACTAATTATTTGGGTTAATCTTTAACAAAGTTATTCTTTTGTGATGATGGTATCTATTTTGATGATAAGACTTAGTTGGAGTATAGTTGAAATAATCTTAGAAACACTTACATGAGAAATTTCACTAAATATGGTTGGAGTATTTATCTCTTATATTATTTATGGGGAGAGATCCACTTATTCCAAAAAACACTTACTCTTCATCTTAGCCATCCAATCTTGAAAAATTCAATGGCTTAGATGTACTCACCAATTCAAACCATTGGATTTCCCAAGAATGAATGGTCATGATGTGGAGTAAGTGTTTTTCCACTTACTCTTGGAGTAAATGGATCCCTCCCCATTATTTATTATAACATTATCTTTCTTGTAACTTTTAATTAAATTGTTATGGTTATGATTATCGTAATGCTTATCAAAATATATTTAAGATAATATCATCATTATCTTTACCCTTTCTATTGTTTTGATCATTTCATCTCTAACCAAACAACATTATTTATTCTTATATCTTAATCTTAATATATATATATATAATATAAATATTTTCTATTAGCTTTACCATGTCATTATTTTAAATTAGTATTATTTTTTTTTGTTTTTATTTTGAAAAACCTAATATGAGGCATATATATTTGTATTCTACGTGAGTGGGGGTGGGAGGGGCAAAATTAAACATCCCACTCAGTCAGCCGAGCACTCTATTTTTCTTTCTTCTTATGCTTTTATATTAATTCATACACATGAAATCTTATTGCAGTTTCTCCTTCAAATTCAAAAGGTACTTCATTGTCAATTGATCTACTTGTGAGACCAATTGTGTTTTGGTGACACTGGAATTGGTTTTTCCTTAGTCAATCATGCATTATCCTTATTTCTTTCTTTTGTTTGTTTCGATTAATTCATGTTTACCTCTGATCTCTCATCAAATATTCAACCAATACTACAAACATATTCATGATTCCCATTTCTCATGTGCATCAGTTTTATATTTGAAACAAGTACACTCATTAATCATACGTCACTCGTGCAATGCACCTTATCTATTTTTAGAATTATTATTATTAGTATCATGTCATTGTTATTATTACTTTTCTTAATATTGTTAACGTACTGATGTTACTATTCCAACAGTTATTATAATTATTATTTAAATTAGTTATCATGTAACATTTTTCCAAAATATTGCAAAGGTTTGATTTACAAATATGTTTCATGTCTTCTCTGTTAAAGTTTTTGAGTTCTCTGAATTGATTTTTACTTCGTTGGTTGATGAAGTGTGACACTTGAGTCAAGTGGATGGTACCAATAACGTTCATAATGATGGAATAATGTTGGAGTTATGAGATAAAGCGCCTCAGGTGAGGGAGAAGACCATTGTGGTAATATATGTTTTCCATGTAAGAGTCCTTCATCTTTTCATGACGAAGTCTTAGATGTTTGATTTGTTGGTAATATATGTGTGAACGTGTTTTTATTTAACATAATGTGAGGTACTCGCTTATGCTATTACATCGTTATGAAACGTTGCTAAATATTTGATTTGTGGCAATGTTGTAATTTGAAAATATCTCAATTGCAATGGTTATATTGTTGCTTGTTGTATTGTTGTATTGATATGTGATGCAAGTTGATTATTGTATTGATATGATAGATACATAAGTTGGTTGTTGTATTGATGTGAAATATATAAGTTGATTGTTGTATTGATATGGAAAATATATAAGTTGATTGTTGTATTGATATGAGAAATATATATGTTGATTGTTGTATTGGTATGAGAAATATATAAGTTGATCATTGTATGGATCGGAAAAATATATAACTTGATTATTGTATTGATATGAAAATTACATAAGTTTGAAATTAAGGTTTTGCACATCGATATTTGATCACTAAGGTAGTGGCTTGAGCTCCTCCATTGGACTTGGCACAATTATTTTGTATTAGAGCTAAGACGACTAACTTAGGTGATACTTTTGAAATAAAAATAGTGGAAACCTTTATTAAAAGACTTAATGAGCCAACTTTAGTTAGTGTATATACATTGCATTCTTGTCGTAGGATTTGGAGAAAATGGAAAGAAACGATGATAGAAATATCATTGCGGATTTGGATAGGGGTGACAATGACGGTGATTCGTCAAGAAGCCTTGAGGAATTTCTTAGGTGAGACAGTCTAGTGAGGATCCGGGTTCATTACTCGTATGACCAGGATAGTCCTACATGCAAACTAAGCGGTCTCTGATACCCCCTTGCACATTTAATGATTGGTAAAGAGGAATCGTGAAACGGAACAACAATTGATATCGTTACTTGCCGTTGTTAAGGATATTTGTACTCCTGATTGCTTTCCCACTAGGATCTTGGCCTTCGGGTATTGTAATTTTGATGAAGATTGGTTGGTTAAATTGCATAAGCATTGCATGATAGATATAATAATTGGGGATGTGAATATCCTCTTGTATAAGACACTAACTTCATGCATCATTTGCATATGTTTGTCATTGTTTGATTTTAGTTATTACTAGCAAGTTACCCGTGCATTCATATGGTTAATAACACACACGTTATTTGTACATTTGCATGGTTAAAACACACATGTTAAATGTGCATTGATATTGTTAAGAAGACACATTTGACCAGTGCATTCGCATGGTTGAGCATACATATTTACTGATACGTTATAAATTCATCAATTTCCAAAGCAAACATGTTAACAGACAGTCGTTTAAAAAATTAGGATAATGTCAATAAATGCATTAAGGATATAATTTAGAGTTAATTACACTCACACCCCCTGAGTTTTAGTAAAATTACACAAATCACCCTTCCCTTTTTTGTCTTTACACGAACCGAACCACCCTTCACTCTTACACAAACCACCCCTGATTTTATACATATATTACACTAACCACCCCTGATTAGATATAAGTGTAATATTTTAAACAAAAAACGTGTGATGAGTGTAATTAAGTTAAACAAAATATGATATATTGTGTAGACTATTCCAAATAGTACAAAACTGAGTGTCTTTTTATTATTTTTGTTTCATTATACAATATATTAACAATTCTAAAGAGATGTTTATATAACTCTTATATTATTTTTGTAATGAACCAAATAATGAAGAAGCATTGACTTTTATATTATTTGGATTTGTCTACACAATGTACAATATTTTGTTTAACTTAATTACACACATCACATGTTTTTGTTTAAAATATTACACTTACATCTCATCGGGGGTGGTCAGTGTAATATATGTACAAAATTAGGGGTGGTTCGTGTAAGAACAAAAAAGAGAGTGGTGGTTTGTGTAATTTCACTAAAACTCGATGGGTGTCAGTGTAATTAACTCTATAATTTAAGAATTACAAAACTAGAAAGTGTGAATTGAAAATGAAATATTAAAAATATTAAAGTTGTAATTTTTAGAGTAAACTACACTCACACTCCTGAGTTTTAGTGAAATTACATAAATCACCGCTCACTTTTTTGTCCTTACACGAACCACTCATACCTCCTACACGAATCACCCATAGTTTTGTATATATATTACACTGACTATCACTGCATGTTATAAAAGTGTAATATTTTAAACAAAAACGTATGGTGAGTGTAATTAATTTTAAAAAATATATTATATATTGTGTAACATTTCAAATAGTACAAAAATCAATGTTTCTTTATTATTTTTGTCTCATTACAAAATACATTACTAATTCTAAATACATGTTTAAATAACTCTTATAATATTTTGTAACGAGTCAAATAATGAAGTCGCATCGACTCTCATATTATTTGAATTCGTCTACACAATATACAATATTTTATTTAACTTAATTACACACGCCACACGTTTTTTTTGTTTAAAATATTACACTTTTATATTACGCAGGGGTAGTTAGTGTAACATATGTATAAAATTATGGGTGATTCGTGTAAAGACAAAAAACGGAGGGGTGATTTGTGTAATTTCACTAAAACTCAGGGGGTGTGAGTGTAATTTACTCTAATTTTTAATAAAAAGTTTATAGTATTCATTAAATTCATAATTAATATATTTAAGACAATTGTCATTACCCATTAAATTAAATCAACTTGTTTTAAATTTTAATTCATTAATTACAAAACGTTCGGGGCGATGGAAATGAACAAGAATTTTCTTCATTAATAGAGAGACAAATACTTGATTTTTCTTGTGTTTTCAATGATAAAAGTGTTATTTTATTATATATAAAATGATAAAAATGTCTTATCATATTATTATTTCATTTTTTAGTACTTATCTCTGAATTAATGGAGATAATATAGTAGAAATAGAGTAGAGAAGAATACAATAAAGCTTTGACCACTAAAGTAGACCGACATAAGGCACTCAAATGCAGGATGGTCTTAGTTATTGAGGCACGAGCAAGACAAATATGCACAATTTTATCCTAATTTTAGAGTAAATTACACTGACACTCCCGAGTTTTAGTGAAATTACACAAATTACCATTTATTTTTTACCCCTACACAAAATCCATAATTTATAAACATACATTATACTGATCACCCATGCATAATAAACAAATGTAATTTTTTAAACAAAAGAAAGTGATAAATGTAATTAAGTTTAAAAAAACATGGTATATTGTAGAAACAAGTCCAATAGTATACGAGTAAATACATTTTAATTATTTTTTTGTTCGTTATAATATAGTATAAGAGTTATTTAAATAATATATCTTTAGAATTATTGATGCATTTTGTAATAAACAAAAAATAATGAAAATGTATTGATTCATATACTATTTGGATTTATTTTCGTAATATCATATTTTGTTTAACTTAATTACACCTATCATCTTTTTTTATTTAAAAAATAACACTTATTTTTCATGCAGAGGTGATTAGTGTAATGTATGTATAAAAATTGGGGGGTTTGTAGGTGTAAAAAAATGATGATTTGTGTAATTTCACTAAAACTCAGGAGGTATCAGTATAATTTACTCATAATTTTATCCCTAATTTTATCCCTTCAAGCGGGAGTGAATTTCTAAGACTTTTAACATTTTATAACTTGACAACAACCTTACTTTGCATTAAAGCTCAAATATATAAGTGCTTAAAAAATATGTCATTCTAAGTTATTGGTTAAGGATTTTAAGAAAATTCCTTCTAAGCAAACATTTTAACATTATTCTCGTCTAACAAACATTTTTTCAATATCCTTTGCCAGCCTATGTGGTCCATCTTTCTTTCCCCTTACCAATTCACCTAGTATCTCCTTTTATATCTTCCAAATTCTTTTGGACATCTCCTCCCATATATCTTTAGCACTTTTACCTCCCAAAACTCTTCCTCTAAATCCTTTGATTGAAGCTCCACCATTTTAATCCTTATACCATTTTAATTTTGGGACATTATATTGGCCTTTTCTCCTCACTTTACTCTCAACCCTTACATCTATAACAAAAATCTCATGTTGGGTCATCAAATCCTCTAATATCCCTACGTACATATCCATTAAGTGTCCCTTTCTATGTGGCAATCAATTTATAATTAGTTCAGGTTCAATGTTGTCCTTCCTTACAACATATCTAACCATTAATTTTTAATGCACATGAGCTTACCAATCAGCATAAAACTGTCGGAAATATTGAACCGTTATCTGGATGGTAACCATATGGTCTTATTTGGATTACGAGAAGTAACATCATTTTCAACTCCCAATATATTTCTATCAAGGATAGTGTTGAGTCTACAAAGGTGAAGACGTAACTTCCGATCAATAGAAAATAATATTAAAAAACCTATAATTTATGATGGTTGGCTTCTTTCCTCTGTTTTCTTTTTCTTATTCTTTACGCCATTTGTAATCTTCTAGTACCATTGGTACTTTTTTAATAAAGTTTCACTTTGCCGCTAAAAAAAAAGATCCCCTACTAGGAATTTTTTTTTTCTAAAAGTATTCCCTAGACAACGTCTTCCAAATCCTCCAAAATATTGGGACGTTCATTTATCCTATTTTTTTTACCTAAGGTTAATAAGGACTAATCGTATTAAATGTGTCTTTCTTTGGAGAAATTTTAAGGTTAAATATCTTATTTTCTATTCTCTTTTACATATTTTCCATACCTGTACCGGTCTTTATTTACGACCATATACACCTCACTTATTGATCTTATCTTACCAATGTATCACAACTTAAAATTTGAAGCGTCTTGCATTTAACCCAACCCATTTACTTTCTCCTAGGCGCATAAAATTGAGTATCCTTATAATCATTATTTCTTCAATTACCCTTGATTTGCTCAAGAGCTTGTATTCAATGATCTGATTCGTATCCTAAATTAGTGGACTAGCTTCTTTACCT